TGACATTTTGACTATTCAGGAAACCAAGCTCGATGCGTCGTTTCCAACGCCCAATTTGAGGTAGAAGGATATAATTATATAGATCTGACAGGACAGGATATGGTGGTGGAAACTTATGTATATTAGATCTGACATATCCATCTCGACAGAGGACCGAGTTACAATTGACACTCGCGAAGAGTATTAGTGTAGAAGTAAAATTAGGCAAAGCTAAATGGCTGGTAAAGTCTGTTATATAGACCGCCAAGCGAACGGGGAACTGCTTTATTTCAGATGTTATACAACATTGGATGAAGGCATATATTCACTATGAGAATGTTGTCATATAGGCGATCTGAACTTTGACCTGTGTGATGCCAACAAAAGGGAACCCAGTCTGATATATGTGATACATTCGATATGCATAATATTGTAGACAAACCAACATGTTCCATGAAGGACTGTAAACCCTCATTGGTCGACATCTATTGTGAGCAAACAGACCAGAAAAGCTGTACTGTACCAAGTCTTTTCGACACTTGGCTGATGTGATTGGCATCCTTTGGGCTTTACAGTTTTAGAGGAAATGTACAGGCGTTTAAAAAGGAAGTAGCTAGTGTACAGATAGTTTTAAAGCAACTGACGAGAAACTACGAAAACAAGAACTAAGCCGAAGTACCATTTCACGTGGCCCACGTCTTGATGACATTGATGACGTGATACTGCCTGGCCATGAACTGATGCTTGCGTGACAGTCTAGCACAACACACCTTCAAACAGAAAACTCAGAAAAAGTAAAGCCACCGTTATGAATGGCGAAACTTTGGCAAGCCCGCATCAAATACAAAAAGGCGCTTTATAGAAACCACGAAGATTGGAATGCAGGGCAGGAAGGGGAAATATAGAAAACAGAGAAACAAAGTAACCGCGTTTGAAAAAGCAGCAATACGCGCTCCCTATGTTGCCGAACGATGCGCTGGTGGGGCACAAAATCAAATGGATTCTGGTGTCCACCATACGCCTTTTCTCCTCTGAAAAAAGGGTACTAAACAGAACCAGATTCACCTGAGACCAACAATGAAACCGGGGCTTCACCCAAACGAGCGTATGTATCTCTCTTAATGAATACTCGTAAACGTTGCCTCGGAAGATGCGGTGAGAGAAAATGTAAATGTACGTAGCATAGAACACAGCATAAGGCATATTCGGAAAAATTCACCACTCCTGAACTCTCGTTCAACTTCCAGGAGTTTCTGACGCGTGTCAGAAAATATATTGGAAAAATAGGCAAGAAAAAGCAACGGGGATGGACAAAGTATCACCAAAGATAATTATATCGGGAGGATGAAGTACATGTTCAACAGAAACAAGAATCGTCAACTTAAACACTAAACGGGGAGCATTCCTGATAGACTGAAGTTGGCAAGGGTTACCTACCGAACTATCAAAAAGAAAGACCCGCTAGATAGACAATTACTATCGCTCGGTGAGGTGGTATCTACCGACGATATCCAACAATCGTTTAAACGGGCCATATTGAGCAGTATGGCTGCTATATTTTTAAAGACATTTTCAACCAATGCGGGTCGCTTTCGACGCTGGCTCGCTATAGTTGTCAATCAACATTGCAATGTTGGGCTCTCACGAGGGTGCGGGTGTGTCATTATCATAATCTATCTGTTTTAGCTGTCAAACCACAGTATCATCACTGGCATGTGGCTGCCACCTATGGCAGGTTGAGGGAAACTAAATAAACATCGGCCTGCGTTCATGTTAAACGGCAAGCTTTTGTTCCTACTCATTAGTTGTCGGCTACATTACGCCCACAAGATAAACCGTCCTGAACTCACATCGGTGTTCAGATACGTAAAGAGACCGCGAACATCAGTAAATAGGGACAGTGGTGCAATGCCGCCAGATGATGCTCAGTTTGCCCATTCTATGTGGTAGACACAGTCAATGCGGTAATGTAGCTGCTGTACACGCGCGTTAGCTCTGGATCCTACACGGGGATTTAGTCATCTGGACTATGTCAGTGCAGCTTGCTAGAATCGGCTAGATTCGTGTCGTTCGAGTCGGTCCGATCGTCGATCGTCTCGGCATCGTACGGCGGGCTCAACAGTTGGGCACAAATCTGTAACGGTCGATCCGGTACGCGCGTCACGATATTCGGACATGTGGGGGACCAAATCAGTCGAACACACAGTTGGCGATTGTCGAGAGCTGAGGGTCGTCAAAGTCAGCGTCATAGAGCGTGTAAAAGAAGGGGGAAACATTCACTCCTTACTAAGGATATAGAGGCAAAATGCAGAATTGCGGCACAAATCTAAACGGCTCGACATAGGCCTCGTGATAGTCGGTGGTATAGCCATCATGGGAGGAAAGCCATCACTGTGCGAAATTGGAGCTCACAGGTCAAAGCCGTCACGTGGCGCACAGGGCAGCATTTTAGACATTTTCTGAGGACATTGTCTGACGGAGCGATTGAAAAAACTTTTTGTTCAGCGACCGTGACCAGATTTTATGGCCTTTATGAAAGGACCATGAAAGGATCCCTTCTGCCCTGACATGCGAAGCAGTAGTGTCGGTATAACCTTTTGACCCTCAAGAGGAGCGCTTAAACTTTGGATTTGTTGACTGTCTGTTTAGAAAGAATTTTGACTGCCCGGGTTGCTAGTAGAATCTATACATGCTGGATGTATGAGGCTACAATGTCACACGTGAAAATTTTCAAAAACGCTAAATTTGTTAAAGGAAGTGTATGTTCCGTCTTAAATCGTTATAATTTCGTATGTCATTCATGTACTGTCCATATTTACACTTAACGTACGTATCGCCACTGAGTGGCCTGCCAGTTTTGCCTGCGCTCTTAATTGCTTGCACGGTGGCAGCTCTCTATTGCAATTTCAGCTGTAGGCCTTTGCGTAGGTAATTCACGGGAAATGGATGAAGGGCTTACCTATCTGTCTTTGCAAATAGTTGTGCTTACTACGAAGGATGGAGCTTCCATCTTAATCGTGAAGACACTTAAACGTACCGCGCCATCTCGTGCAACTTCATAACGGATTCCAACGAACATTCTTAAGAAGGTTCCATGATACCATCCCTAGTGCATTCACTGTTTCGCCGTGTATGTGTAGGCTGTGAACACATCTTGGACTACAGGCGTTGACTAGAATCCGCTCCACTCCACCACAGAGATCACCGCAGCGTAGACAGTTATGATGAGCGCGTGCTCGCCTATGCGGGCAACTTGTAATTGATTCCGCTCTGCATAGTTGCCGCCAGCTTAGATGTTCATGGGCAGCCTGAGCACGGCCGCATTCACTGTGCACGTGATTTCGACTTACTCTGCAGGCTCGTATAAGTAAAGGAGTTGAGAGCGCTCTCCGAGGGCGTATCTCACATCACAGTCCAGACATCTGTAGGCGCTATATAGACCGCCCACACACACAAACATATTCTTCTGCTTTCGCCTGAGTAGTCAGCGGACAATATTTTTCCTGCTGTCTGTGCGAAAACACGTCTTTTGCCCATTTCCGCATACATAGTCCATACATAACATCAAGAAAGACGTACTTCGTTCCTCATTCTCTCGGTTGCTCTCATCTCTCCCACTATATTTTGTTAGTGTCCCCCTTAGCTTGCTGTTAAGCTTCAATAAACGAGCTCTTTCACCATCAGCAAGTCATACGAGTGCGCGAACTGTCACAGTATTACAGTGCTTCGTGTGAACAATATCAAAATAAACGCAGCAGAGTACATTTCTATTTTAGGCATAAAGCCATCGTAACAATAAATTATGGTCCCCACCCGCTACATGTGCTTAAAGGAAGCCATGTTTTCACAACACTTCGCTTAGCCTCTCGCCCTCCTGCATCCTGCATGGGCGATGAAATTGCTGTGCAATTATCTCACGTCAAATCCAAGTGTCAGTAGAATCTGTGTAACTATACAAATCCCAACCATAATTTTAGTGAATCAGATGGCACTTGCAGCCTTGATTAACCTAGATCACAAAAATCAGTGTTGAAAACCTGGTCAGATTAATCCAGGCCAGCTTTAATGCGTAGTCTTATTGGGAGTTTGGGTAAATCTTGTCATTTATGCGTTGTTTGTAGCAAAACATTATTTCAAAGGCTACCAGATAAACATGAAAAACTGGTAACAACGTTCACCTCTGTCGCATACTTAGCCTTTGTCCAAATATCTGTTGCACATCGTGGCCGTAATTGTACGATGATATCAATTTGATTTACAGTTGCAAAATTCATGGCGCTCACTTCTAGTGAGCTTAAACCTGGTTACATAGGAATTTAATCATCTTCTTTCACTCAGGAGGGCGCGTAAACTTAATCATATCCTTTGTAATGCCTCTATGCATCGCTTATAGTATATTCTTTCAGGCGAATATGCCAAAAATAGCACGTACGTCTGTACGTATGTTAAAGTCGTTGATTTTGTGGCGAGATGGCCATTAATTAGAGCAGTGGCTATTACAACACCATACATGCACGAGGCCTTATATACTACTATCGGCCGTAACGCTGAGCAGGGTCTACTGTCCCCAAGGTACTGCCGGAACGTACCCTGGGTAGGTTCGATATACCGGAACGTACCCTGTTACTATCTAATATGCTCGCGACTACCTACGCCTACTCCATCAACGAGTCTAGGATCGCCTACTCCCTAAACTAACCCTAAACCAGATCAATAGTTACCAGGGTACGTTCCCGGGCATTACGCTGGGGGACATAGCACTCTCATGAGCATCTATATTACGACCTGGCAATTGCGTCATACCAGGCTCGACACTAGCGCATGAAATGATAAACCTATTCCATCTATTGATTTACCCATGGATATATATATATGCATATTAGGAGCTAATAAGCTAATTAATGGGGAGCTAATCAAGAACCTAGGTATTATTAGCTTATATCACGAGCTAATAATACCTAGACTGTACATATGCTTATCATACTTTTTGCATATTTATGCTTGATAACTTAAAAGCCACATATTTTATTATACATATTTACGTGATTAAATTTATTATCAATTGAAACACATATAAAAAGTACAAATGATGGGTGCCCTATGATTATTCTAGCCACTTGCACTATTACACATATATTACATGAAATGCACCATACATAAATATAATGAAGATAATCTATGCATGTTGATATTGAGCTACGATTTCCCTAAATATTATATACAATTTATTCTAAAAAGCCAGAACATATACTGAAGCACATATGGAATGTCTAACAAATAATACAAAACTATTTCACATTGAATTCTTTTTATAGTTTACATCACATTGCCTTGGTTCTTTAACTTTGTTTTGTTATACTTGACAGATTAAATATTTTTGCATTGTAACCAAACACAACTTCCTCGTCCGTTCCTAAATGCAAAATTATTTAAACAAATTTTGATTTAGGATTTTAAATTAATCTCATGAGCAGTACCTTAATCTAACCAACTCTTTTCACAAACTACAAATACCCTAACACACACACACACACACAGTTGAGTTCGGTCACTTTCCGTTCTTCACGTTTTTCTTGTGGAAAATGTCGACCGTCGTCTCGTGGCACTTGCGCAGATCGTAGTCGCAGTACCCGATCGCAAACTTGCTCTCCGTCGGCTTGTAGATGTCCAGCCCTCGGCCGATCTGGATGATCCAGCCGTTGTCGACGCGTATCTCGCGGTCGTGCAGCGTCGCCGAGTACTGCACGGCGAGCTTCACGCCGCGCTCGCCGAGGCTGTGCGCGAGCTCCTCCAGCCGCTGGTGCTGCTGGTAGGTGTCACGGTCACTCTCCTGGCCCGTGATCAGCGACACCTTGCCGAGGTTCGGGCAGCGCTTCACGGCGAGCTCGCAGAAGCGCAGCAGGTTGTAGATCTGGTTCGGCGTGCGCACGTACGGGTCCTCGACCTCGACGACGCCGACGTCGTCGTCGAGAAAGCGCGCGAACAGACGCTCGTAGCTGTGGCCCGTCGAGTTGTTCTCGATGTGGATCTGCTCGTGGTAGGAGCCAGCGGCCTTCAGCTGCTCGACACGCTGCTTGATCACCTCGGCACGGTCCATGTACTCGCTGATTTTCTGCCGCAGCTTCTGCCGCTTGCCGTCGCCGGTGATGGAGCGCAGCGCGTCCAGCAGCAGCTGTATCCCCTCCTGCGAGATGAGACGAGCGGGCCGTGTGTGAGCGTGGCTGTGCAAGGCCGAGCCGTTGCTAGGAGGCTGAAGACTGGTTGTTAGGAGGCTGAAGAGTGGTTGTTAGGAGGCCGAAGAGCAGCTGCTAGGAGGCTGACGATTGGTTGCTAGGAGGCCGAGCCATTGCTAGGAGGCCAAGCCATTGCTAGGAGGCTGAAGAGTGGTTGCTAGGAGGTCAAGCCATTGCTAGGAGGCTGAAGAGTGGTTGCTAGGAGGCCAAGCCATTGCTAGGAGGCTGAAGAGTGGTTGCTAGGAGGCTAAAGAGTGGTTGCTAGGAGGCCAAGCCATTGCTAGGAGACTGAAGAGTGGTTGCTAGGAGGCTGAAGAGCGGTTGCTAGGAGATTGAGGTGCGATTACTATAACAGGTGCGTGGACAGCAGTTTCTACGAGCAGACTGTTGCTAAGAGGGTGACGTGCAGCTGCTATGAGGGTGGGAAGCGGTTGCTATAGAAGGTGCGTCGTGTGCAGCAATTTCTAGGAGCAGTTGCTAGGAAGGTGGGAAGCGGTTGCTATGAAGGTGAGGAGCGGTTGCTATGAGGATGGGAAGCAGTTGCTAGGATGGATGACGAGTAGTTGCTACGATGGTGAGAAGTGCCTGAAAGTAGGTGAGAATTGGTTGTCAGGAGGGGTGAGATGCGGTGGCTACGAGGGTAAGAATTGTACTCCAAGAGGGTTGAGGAATGGTTGCTAAGAGGGTGAGGAGAAAATGGAGGTGATAATATCTTACTGTTTAAAATGTATTTTTGGAGGAATGAATATAAAAATTATATTTAATAAATTACCTGATAACATATCAAGGACTCTGCATATTTTTCTTCGTTGTCGTATTTCACTGCTCTGGTTAGGACCTGTCCAGCTGCCTCAGTTTTAGCTGACATGATTGAATGCTTATATCAGCCCAGATGTGGATCACAGGCAGTTTCTATAACATTAATAAAAAACAATGATAGGTTAGGCAAGGCTCGACACTAGCGGTGGCCCGGTGGCCCGGGGCCACCAAAACTTGATGTCGGGCCAGCAAAATTTCCAAAAGTTAAAATTTGGTGGCTCGATCGGGCCACTAAAATTTCAAAGTGTCTATGTGATAAAAATATTTGTTTCTTACGTGCTAATCTCATTCAAAAGAGAGCGAGCAATTCGCGGAGCGAGGGCACACGTACGCACGTGCAGCATTCTACCGCGGGCACGGTTTAATGATACGTCACGCGCGTGTTTAGATAAATAATGAGTGAAAGTAGAAAATTGGTATGCAAGATTCTGGTGAAAATTTGATGCCGTGGAATGGATAATTCAAATGTATGCCTCAATCATCAATGTCAGTGTGTGCTATTGTGTGGGGTTGTTTAAAGACTTGTGCAAGTGCATCAGACGGCCCAATTTTCAAATAATATACAATACGAGATTGAAATAAAGATTTATGTTTTTCTTTGTTTTTTTTTCGGGCCACCAGATTTCATTTTCGGGCCACCAAAAATTGAAAATCAATGATTTTGGTGGCCCGTTCGGGCCACTGGAAAAAAAAGTTAGTGTCGAGCCTTGGGTTAGGTGAGTCAGGTGTTATTGAACCAGGAGCGGTTAAATTTTAAGAAAGCTACAATTTTGCAACAAATGGCTGCAGCAAGTTTAACGTGCAGACAGGCTGCGCAACTACGTTTGTTGATATCGCGGGCGAGTCATTACCAATCAGCTCAGCCGCCGGCGATCGGGCATGCCGCCCATTTGCCTGGTAGCATCTGAAGTATCATTTTGCATGTATATTTAAGAAATTTCTGTGATTTGAGCGCATTCTGGCGGGCCGATTGTCAAAAATGGCGAGTGTAGCTTGTTCAGCAGTCTTCCGCGATTCCAACGATAGTTGGAAAGTGGCCCACCTGCAGGAACACCGGAGTTGTAACTGATTGAAAACGGTGAGTTGTGGAAACTGCGGCGGCGAGTTAAGGCCAAGACACACTGCAGCGACAGCGACAGCGACTGACCGTAACGACAAAGCTGCGGCGACTGGCGCAGCCACACTGCAGCGACAACGACCGACCGTAACGACAACGTTCACCCAGCACTCACCACAGGCACTTGGGACAGTCAGTAAAAACTGAAAATAATATGAACGTACATTCACAAATCGTACCCCTCTGTTACAGTTCCACTGTTGCGACACTGTATATCAACTTTCCTTCATAAAAACCTATGTAAAAACTAACGCGAACGCTCCCGGCACTCGCCGCGGCGAGTGTGCTTGACGCTATTGATAATAATATATATATGAAGGAAGGTAGGAAACTCGTTTGCGCGATTTCCGACGATCACTCCTCGATTCTTTCAAATTTCACAAACTTGTCAGGCACCTACCACTCCATCTTGGGCTCATTCTGCCCTCTATAGTCCACTGAACAAAACTATGTAACTACGCGTGGCCGAGAAGTGCTACCTTGCTTTGTAATGTGACTTCAAACTCAGAAGTCCGCCGTTCGTGCTGATTCATAAAAATGTATACGATTCACGATTCCGATCGGCCCCGTAGTCGAGGGCGGCGCGGAGCGCGATTGGCTGCAGGCGGGACGCGTCATAAACTGCCGTGATTTGTTTACGCGTTGCCCTCGACTACCGGGGCCGATCGGAATCGTGAATCGTATACATTTTTGAGCCCAAGATGGAGGTGGTAGGTGCCTGATAAGTTTGTGAAATTTGAAAGAATCGAGGAGTGATCGTCGGAAATCGCGAAACGGAGTTTCCTACCTTCTATATAATATATATTATCATAGCATCACAGCACACTCGCCGCGGCGAGTGCGGAGCGTTCGCGTTAGTTTTTACATAGGTTTTTATGAAGGAAAGTTGATATACAGTGTCGCAACAGTGGAACTGTAACAGAGGGGTACGGTAGTAATTAAAGCCTATTTGTGAATGTGTTCATATTATTTTCAGTTTTTACTGACTCTGTCCCAAGTGCCTGTGGCACTCACCACAGTGCCAGTGCCAGTGGCACACATGAGCAAACGGCAAAAAACTCCTGCTGCTGCTTTTAAATAAATTGCTGTAAAAACGCCTCTATGTATAACGATAATATAATAAAGTAATATATAGGCAGCATATTATACGAACGTCTGATGGCTGACCGTAGCCTTGCACGTTTTGGTTAGATGGGCCGCGGTCCCACTATTTCTGACAGGCGGTGCGAGTTTAGCGCTGGGGACCAGTCTACTTCCTGGCTAGCATTGGTTTAAAATTTTATGACGTAATGACTAATGGCGATGTCCCGTGGCGATGGAAACGGCTGTGATTGGCCATTTGTAAAGTGTCGCCGGCGAAAGTCGCTAGGAAATAGAAACGTTTCTAAATATTTTTGTCGTCGAGGCTGTCGCCGGTCGTGATCGCGTCAGTGTGCAATGGCTCATACTCATACTCATAGTCATAGGTAGCTCCAAGAAACGGTATTGCTAGGGTTAGAATACCGTTTCAATTTCTTGCCCACAATTCCTTGTAGTTGGCTCGGTATCCAACCATCGACACACTAGCGTCACATGTAATAGCTCAAACGAATCTATAAAACCTCTGGCTTGCTCGCGGATAACTGGGCGCTACTGGCGCTACTTATTTATTGAGTTATGCCGTTTTTCTGAGATTAATTGGATCAAAACAACCAGAAAGCCGCCATGTCTGCCATGTTCAGTGCAACTAAAATCAGCAATGGACCTGATTTTCACAGTGCGTAGGCCAAATACAACGCAAGTACATATCTTCGCAATGATAATTATTAAGTTGTTGTAGATTGACGATTCCTGGTTTTCAATGTTTTATATATTTAATATATACGAGTATATGATGCTTCTTTATGCTCGCGCCAACGCAAGTAGCAACGCTATGGTATGTTATGTCGTTTCGGGTTTTCCGCGTGCCGTTCGAAAATCATGCGCATGCAAACATGGCAGTTGGCGTTAGTTAAAATTTCGGTTTGGCTCTTGATATTTTACACTGTGCACAGCAAACTGAGGTATTATGTTTTAATAACAACGCTGGAATACTATAAGGTGAAGGTTATATTTGATACAAAACAAGGCAGAAATGCTTAGATGATCATTTTATTTGAGATATACGTAATTGTTCGGTAGTTTTTGTACAGCTACAAGATTTTTCAATGGATGGATGTCAGGCGGTGTATTGACGTTAGTCACACAGCCTGGTCGGGTTAAGTCATAGGAAACAATAGACTGAATAGTTTCAAATTTTCTGAAAAGTCGTTTGTCGTTACGGTCGGTCGTTGTCGCTGCAGTGTGTCTTGGCCTTTAGGCACCATGTTGTTACAATAGTCAATGGGCCGCCGCGTGTGTGCTGTACGTGCGGGCTTGTTATTGCTGACAGTGACAGTGTGAGTGTGTTCAGACTGCCCGTCTTCACCGTTTCGGGGACCGACAGAATTATAATTTATATTATTATAATTCTATATCGGACTATATACCACACACACACAACCTCACTTACGCTTCCTTGTGCGTGAAAGAAAGAAATGTCACGGAAATGCTCATGTATTAGTTATGATTCATCGGTGACTGATGCAAACATTTCAAAACATAAAATAGCGCGAAGTGCACCGCCATCTTTCTTATTATGAAACCGCCGAGAGACTGAGGGGGGAGAGAGTGGGAACTAGAATTGTATTGGAAGGTATCGTCGTCAAAAAAATAATACCATGTAACTGAACACGCGCACCACTCGCGCACGCACACATACACGCACTCACGTATATATAATTATGTATATATTATATAATCACATGTATGTACTTTTTTATTTATCTATTTACCGGTTGGTGACTGATTAAACTTAATATTACAGATGCTCCTTCCCAACCCTTATCATAAGCGGCAGCTTAATATTGGGCGGTCGTATCTAGTATCTTCTTCTGATCCGGTTCGGGGAATTGTGGGATCGATAATGTAACATGGAACCGATTTCTACTGTTAAGTCATTTCGTCTGTCCAATTTCAACTCATTAGGAAGTTCAGCAGCCATAAGGTCAGTGAAATGAACTTTTAGTGATGCATGAATGGTTAATCTTGTCCACTGTGGAGGTTCTTTTACAATGAGTACTTTTTTCACTATGTATTATAAATAAAAGCCCAGCTCTCCTGTACTGCGCATTATCATTTCACTTTCGCAGTCACGTTGGCCGGGAGATGCAATGCCAATGTCATAGTTGGAACGCATGGCCATGAGTCATTTTCATGAGGATTATTCGAGATCATTGGCTAAATTTGTTTAATAATCACTTCTTTACTTGTTAACGCGCAAATACGTTGATTGCGTTCGCGTTACTGTACTTCTACTTATTAGCCCCTTCTTCGTTTTACTGTGACTGAGCAGGGCCCTAGCTAGGTTTTTTTTTTCTGTAGCCAAACAATTAGCCAGAATCAATTTTCATTAGCCAATTTGGATTCCTGTTAGCCACATCTGTAGCTTAACATTTTATGAACATAAACAAACAGGCGATAAATAATTTATCTTTTCTTTTATTTTTTCACAAACTTTTATATGCATGAAGTACAAACTACACTTATTTAATGCAAACAAACTATTATTCACCACATGTCTATGACTGATACACTAACACTATGATTCACTACCATGACTCTGACTGACTGACAGAGACATTCAAATTGTCTGAATTTTTTCTTCTTCACTGCTGGCAGGAAAATTCTCCTATCTTTTTTGGCACACCACTGGACATAGCACTTTTCAAAGTCAAACATCTCTTTTTCTGGGCCTTCAATTTTGATGGTTAGAATGTCACAACACTTTCTGTTTTCAGGTGATTTCTCAGAGCTGTTTTAACCAAATTATGTCTGCTAAAACCCCTCTCCACATCAACTGTTGTGGATGGTAGGGTCACAAACAACTACTTTTTACAGTACCTGACGCACAATACGCACGCACGCGCATGCACGTGCGCAGTACAGTATAGACAGTACTATACACACATTATAGTTATTTACAGTAATACTAATAGTTTACAGAAGAGTTTTCACAGCACATACATATATACGCTACTACTTTTGTAACTTCGGGATGCTAGTGAACCAGAAAAATTAACTGCTCATCAAAGCTGACTATATTCCCAGTTAGTACTTATCAGTTTTACTACTTTTTACAGTACCTCACACACAGTACACACACAAACACACACCTACACGCACGCACGCGCGCGCACACACACACGTGCACGCACAGGCGTAGTAAAAATCATTTGACTTTTGCCAGCGCCGTTGCCGTGCCGTGCCGTGCCGTGCCGTGTGTGGAGACAGGCCTTTTTTAAACCCCAGGGTTTCTTCTGAGGGAAAATTAGACAACGGTGGTAATGCCCAGTTTGGGGAAAAACGCACATGATGGATTCAAAGGCGTGCAGTAGGCACGAATGTGGATTCTGCAGGCAGACGCGGAGGGAGAGAGGTAGAAGGGTTCTGGGGTCTCCCCAGCAAAATTTAAAACATTTGAATGTCTTAGACTGCATTTGATGCGCCCCAAAAATAAAATTTCACCCTTTAGTTTAAACTTACTCTGTTAGCAGACCTACTAAGTCTCACGCTGCGCATTTCGTGGAGACTCACGCATCTGCACCCATTCTCCGCGCTCCCCGCATGCTCTACGCATTCTCACCATTCACGCCAAAAAAAAAAACGAAAAAAGCAGCCCGCGGCACCCTGTTACTCACGTCCGTGGCTGTGCACATCGTGGCTCATGCTTGCTGGCTGGCCGGCATTGATTGAAGTACGGGGTGGGGGGGTGGGAGGGGGGCTGGGGTAAATGCACTGATTGTTACAGTCGCGGGTGTGTGGTTATTGCTGTATATCTAGGGGTGGGCACCGCGCTGGTATGAGGAGCGACTGCAATCGGGAATGAAACCGCCGCCGCCGCCGGGAATGTGCCGGCACGCAAAAAGAAACGTTGCTGTTTCGACGATCAAATAGGATCGATGTTTGCTGGGTCATGCTTATTACGGGAAAATTACGTTTCGTCACTTTTTTCGCCAAATAAGACTTTCAATCGCCAGATTACTAATTTGTTCGCCATTGGCGAATTGGCGAGTGGGTAGCGAGGGCCCTGACTGAGTGTGAATGACTCTCAAGTCTCATGTTGAACGTTCTGACAGTTCACACTCCCCTAGATACAATAATGTAACCCAAACCCAAGAGGATAGGGTTACAAAGTGTCCCTATCCTTTTCTGCGGAGGAATGCCCGAGTGAATCACTCGGGCCGGTTTGCTGGTGCGTTTTCAGATACTAGAACTTCCAAACTGGGTTTATTCTAAACACGAACCTTTCTCCGCTATTCGGGAACTCACTATGTATCGCAATACTCTGTATTAAACTAATATAACCTGTTACAAAAATTCGAAGTGACGAGCGGCGAATATACTGAGCGCCATTTCTGTTGACCTGTGACGTACTTCGGTTTGAAGAGCGGATTCACCGACCAATCGGAGGCGCTGCGTTTGCCGATCGCTATGCGCATTGGGAAATGCGTACGTCACAGTCAACAGAAATGGCGCTCAGTATATTCGTCGCTCGTCACTTCGAATTTTTGTAACAGGTTATATAGTTTAATACAGAGTATTGCGATACATAGTAAGTTCCCGAATAGCGGAGAAAGGTTCGTGTTTAGAATAAACCCAGTTTGGAAGTTCTAGTATCTGAAAACGCACCAGCAAACCGGCCCGAGTGATTCACTCGGGCATTCCTCCGCAGAAAGGATAGGGACACTTTGTAACCCTATCCTCTTGGGTTTGGGTTACATTATTGTATCTAACACTCCCCTAGCTCTACTCTAGTACTATAGCCCGCGTACAGTTGCCGCAGGGCTATAGAACATTTTATGCCAGGTTTCGTAACTGCACCTGTCTCCCAATGCTTCACGAAAAATGGCTCACAAAACGCAAAATGATCGGGCTTTTTAACACTTAATGACTTATTTATCTACATGGACATCTCACCTATCTTTTTGAACACTCCACAACTTTACACCATGTACTTATGCATTTATTCCTCAAAGTGCTAGCACTACTTGCGTTTCGTTTTCAAATTTTGTTATGTACACGCTAGACCGAATAATTCTGTCCCATATAACCTTTTTAATATTTTGGTGAGAGTTATTTTGGGACAGAACGGGGTTCATTGAAATTTCGTGAGATCGCATGCAAAATGCATGCGCTGCTAATGCGGCCCGTACGCCGCTATTGCGCGAAAAAAACTTGCCGTTCCTTCTACATGGCTTTACCTTGCTACTGATATGTGTATACATTCACTTCAATCGTTATTTACTTCTTAAAAGATTGTCAGAAACCCCGCTTCATTAACTTTAGTAAATTACGTTGGCCATTTACAAACAATCAGACCAATCACAGCGAGTCTTACAATACCCCTGGTTCTCGCTTGTATCTGTGGCGCTGCAGGAGGCCTGATAGACTCGCTGTGATTGGTCTGATTGTTTGTAAATGGCCAACGTAATTTACTAAAGTTAATGAAGCGGGGTTTCTGAAAAACAATCTTTTAAGAAGTAAATAACGATTAAAGTGAATGTATACACATATCAGTAGCAAGGTAAAGCCATGTAGAAGGGAATGGTAGGTTTTTTTTCGCGCCAATAGCGGCGTACGGGCCGCATTAGCAGCGCATGCATTTTGCATGCCATCTCACGAAGTTTCAATGAACCCCGTTCGGTCCCAATATAACCCTCACCAAAATATAAAAAAGGTTATATGGGACAGAATTATTCGGTCTATGCATGTACACGCGTGACGTCACCCGAAATGTAGACAAAACACATGGGCAGCTATGATGCAGCCTATTACATTTCGGGTGACGTCACATGTGTACACAACAGCATTTGAAAACGAAACCCAAGTAGTGCTAGCACTTTGAGGAATAAATGCATAAATACATTATGGTGTAAAGTTGTGGAAAGTGTTCAAAAAGATAGGTGAGATGTCCATGTAGATAAATAAGTGTTAAAAAGCCCGATCATTTTGCTTTTTGTGAGTCATTTGTGAGAAGCATTGGGGGACAGGAGCAGTTACGAACCTGGCATAAAATGTTCTATAGCCTGCGACAACTGTACGCGGGCTATAGTACTAGAGCTAACAGCGTACTCCCCTTGCTACTACGTTACTCAAATGGAGAGTGCAGGATGTTGTTGGTGTCATCTAATTAGGTCAGCGTGAGAAACTAGCGGTCGCCAGTGGCGATTAGAAAATCGACCGGGCGGCTGCTTGCTCGTGTCAGCTGGTCCGGCGGGGCGACTAGATAATCGCCGCACAGGAAATAAAAAATTTACCAAACTGATTATTTTGTTATTCTCTACTAACCTTCTACATTATTCTAATGAAATGAATGGTAAATTTAATCAAATATAGACTAAAAATAGTCAAATTCCGAAGCCTAAAGTCCATGCGAAGTACACGAACCCGCCATGGTTGTTGTGTTCGATTTTCTAGGTCATGCTGTTAAACCTCTGCTAATTTGATAATACTGGGCATCCCCGACCAATCAGCGAACGCGTAATAAAATATGATAATTTATAGGAATAATGGGCGGTCTTCAGAGACCGCTGATCTTTGAAATCGACTTGCGGACTTGTTCCGATTTACTACGCATCAGCGTATCGAAACGAGTAAAAAATATAATTTGCTGATGAAAAGAAACGAACATATACTACACTATCAAGATACTGTCATAAAATTATTATGTAACCGAATCAAATTGCGTATTACTACAGCCCTCGACACTAACGGTTGTCCGATTGCCCGGGACAAGTGAAAGTCTATGTCGGACAAGTTATTCTTCTTGCCTAGTTGCCCGATCGGACAACTGAAAAGTTCTAGTGTGTTTAATATTCTTAACATCCTCCGAGCCAGGGCGCTATCGCACCACATTCTCACTTCAAACGTTTTCAAAGGTCCCTGAAAAGCAGCCCGAGACACCCACTGTTACACATTACAGATTTATTCAGAGCGGCACGCGCGTACCTCCCTGGCTGGGGCGGCATTGATTTATGTACTGCGGTGGCCGGGGGTACGATTGTTTATAAGTCGGTTGGGGCATATTCATTACTGAATATGTAGAGGGTGGGCATCGCTGGAATGAGAGGATGACAGCAAAACTCTTTCCTGTGATTGAGGAAAAAGCTGCAATCGGTAATGACACACAATTGGCGTGCCAGCATGCAAACATAAACGTGTGAATTTCATTACGATTTTACATGTACTGTATTTACTCGTGTATAAGTATAATTCATGTATATTATAAGTCTCACCCCATATTTTGCATTGAAAATGGTACAAACATTGGTACATAACAAGATTTCTTAGCCTCGTCTATAAGTCACACCCCCTGATTTTTTTAAATTGAAGTTGTGTACAAAAAGCGCGGTTTATACACAAGTAAATACGGTATATATATACTGTAACTGTGTAATACACACGCACGCACGCATGCAAACGCGTGTGCACATGCCTAGGTATGTGCGAGCCTATATGCACGCAGGGAATACTGGCAAAAATGTCAGGAGTGTATAATAATTTATATATATATATATATATATATATATATATATATATATATATATATATAATATATATATACATCTATCTATATATGTTCAGTATATGTATATATCTATTTATATATCTATTTATATAATATAGATCTCTATATTATACACTCCTGATAATATGATATGCACTGAACCAAAAGAGGACATTAACGGCTCGTACATTGCACAAGTAAATTTTGGACAAGTAAAACCAAAATTCGGACAAGTAAAAATTGCTTCTTGTTGCCCGACAGGACAACCAGATCTGAAAATAAGCGTCGAGGCCTGTACTATTAGTACATGAAGATGGCAGCGCCATCCAACAATGAACATCTATATATTTTATATTGTTGTTGTTTAAATGCCCTATTATATATTGTATTACATTTATTATTAAGAATACCTTAGCATGCACATCACCAAATTGAACCATCCCCCCCTATAAAAACGTCCCCACATCCGAGTCATTTACTTTGCTATGACAGAAATCCTGGACCAGTGCATACTGACGAGGATCAGTGCTTTCTCAGAGGCAGGACCAGTGCTTCCAATTATCAGTTTTTTACTTTGTAGGTCCTCGTTAATACATTTGATAATTGACCAAGACTTTGTGAAGTCTATGTATGAGTCTTTTGCCTACATCAGTGCTAGCTACTTAATTAAGTCGTACCTTGAGCATATTAATAGAACTCTGTGTAGCTCATTAATGCAACTTTGATCTCTAGACATGTGAATTTGATTCTTGAATGTGAATGTGATCATGATTTTTGTATGTCAGTGAAGCCTTTCACAGTATATTCTTCATCAGCATGCTGGCGTATATGTGGGTGCTTGAAGTGACCTTACTCAACGCATGTGTAGGTAATGTAGCAGTGTTTCCCCTGCATTGACACGAGCGAGGCGGGCCGCCTCACTCAAATTCTTAGCCGCCACACAGAGATATTTGGCCAAAACACCACCTCGCTGACGAAAATCACTGTTCTTCCATAGAACTGTGCTTATAAATGGACCAAAATAGCGTAGAATGCACGAAATTGTACCATTTTTTCAAAAAAATTGACGTGCGGTGCTCGCTTTGCTAGGACCTTGAAACATGCAAACACACCAAAAATAATTTACCACCTCACAGATCTGTTTGGCCAGGGGAAACACTTATGTAGTATATTCTCCAATGTTGTAAAATCTTCTATGATCTATATATATGCATCGACATTTTATTGCGAGTTTGAAATACAATAGCAGTTTGCTAAAAAAGCAATGATTGTGTTAGTCACTGTTCATTTTATTTAAACTTTAATGTGTTGGGGGTTTTGTCATGTGCATGTGCACTGCATGGTTTATGCATGTGCCTAATGCACCATCTCTAGAAACATTTTAAAACTCAGTTCATCATAAAATCTTTCATGTGCCAATCATTCAGATAAATTTTCTAGTGAAATGACAGGAAAAACTGAGCCAAGGGTCAGTGTACACCATTAAAAAAAGATATCATAGATCTTAATAAAATCACTTTATTTGAGATATTTGGCTTAATAGCATAACGACTCTAATTTTGCCATAGGACCAATGACAGGTGTCACAGTTACCCTGCTTACTGGCCTTGTTGCTCCTGAAAATTGGCTAAGAGCCACAGCAATAAACTGTTGTGGCTGCCCCACCTAGTTTGCTATCATGCCCTTGTCATAAATTCAGTGTTGTGTATATATCCCTCTTGGTACTAGATGATAAAATGTATTATTAAAAAGGAAGTGACCTTAATACCCTCTCTTTAAATGAAGTGTTTACCTTGGTGCTCATACAGCTTGCTGTGGTGACAGACGTAAGATTTATGATTAAACCAAGGCAAGCTCTCAGGCCACAAGTTTGCCCTGCCCCGAAAACCTTTAATTCGACCCCTGCATCACCTGTTACAGTTAGGTAGGAATCTGAAATGTTTCCACGTTTAGCTAGGTAAGGGCTAAACTTTGCAGCTATACTTCACAACCTGATGAGACTTTTGTTGACTAGCACTAGCAGCAACACTGTTCAACCACTCGGAAATAACCGCTGGTGTTTGGTAAAGGTCAAAGGGCGAAATGGTCTTTGACTTTGTGTTTAGCGCCTCTGCTGGATGGTCCCATTACAGTCTCTGTTTACTGACAGTGGTTTGCCCTGCGCAATTGTACGTTGTTTGTAATGAGCACTGTTGTAATTCTTCAGGTTTCTGGGATAGTTTCTCGTGAGAGCAAGTTTTGGCGGGAAGATGGACCTGCTTTCGGCAGCTCTGGATGAGTCCGGATTGAATGAGGACTTTTTGCTCAGCACAGCCGATGACGAACTGGTAGTTACTCCAGACAGCCTCTGTCAAAACAGAATTCCCAAGATATATATGACCAAACTAGACATGTTGCTATTTCCAGGGGGGTCCTTCAGTGAAGTGTACATACGTCTGTACTGGTGTAAACGCTCTTTGATTGATAAATTTCCATTATTAACATATATTATAATAACTGAGATGTTGAACCTGGTATACATGTACTATATCGTGTATTATGTCTAAGGCGAGAGCTATGGAGAGCTGCAGGTAAATTACCATTGCACATGTATGTATTCGTGTTCAGGTTTATTTTTCTTCTAGTGGAGAAGTTCTTGTTCCGACTTCTGGTGTGCACGTGTCTACTTTGGCTTCACTGTACAATAAGACTAATTCATCTGTATTGAATCCACAGGCAGAGCAGCCATCTCATTCCACTGTTGTCCACCAGCCAAAGATAGTTCAGGCAAGTTTAGTTAATTGCATCTGTACGCGTTGACATTTAATATTATAGCCAGTTCCAATATAACCACTAAAACCACTAGCCCTGACCTAACTTTCACTAGCCCAGACCCAGACAATTGTTATGGAAAACTCTATTTAGATAAGAGTGGTCATCGTATGAATTCATAGATGCTGTTTCCCGCGCTTTAAATCACGCGTGGGCCGAGTTCACGTGCAGCATTCGTATTCTACCACGGCCATACACGAGCGCACGGTTTATCGATCGTCTACTGCGGCTGGCAGCAAGCCACGTTATTGTTTTTGCCGAAGGTTAGACTGGTATCCGGCATCACGCTCTGTTAGACAATGTACACGCTCTGCGACAAACAGTGCGGTTGCGAACCAGTCTAGCCAGAGGGTTACGACCAATTCTAACACGACCAGTCGGGCTACTAGCACTCTGGTTATATGCGAGGTCGGACGTGGGTTAGTGTCGAACCCTGCATGACCAAAAGACCCCGCATCACATCACTCAATGAATGCGCATGGCAATCTAAATCTGCCAGAAGCACATGGTGATGTGCAGTGAAACCGCTTCTATAGAACGGTCTATATAACTCTATATAACACCTAACGGCATTTATCGCATCTCTCTCGAGTGGCATTAATCGGTGAAAATGCTAAGCTTTCGTAGGTTCGCGTATCAACCGCGGGAAAACGCGAGCTGTCCATTGTCCCCGATCGTCGTTGCCTTCTCTCCTAACGCGTTTACTTTGTGCGTTCACGCAGGTGAAGATGCAGAGCGGGTCGGCGGTTGCCGCGGCAACGCAGGGCCGCGTCATACAGATCAGCCGCTCGTCGTCGTCGAGTGTGCTCAGCAGCCTCGGCAACAACGCGTCGCTGCGGCCGACGACGCTGCCGCAGGCCGTCCGCGTCATCTCCATACCGAAGGTGAGCTCGGCGAGCGCCATACAGTCGCTCGTCAAGAACTCGGGGATCCAGAGCGGCGGCGCGGCAAACGGCGGCGCGCGGACGGTGTCGGTGCCGCTGACGATCGACGGGGCGCAGCGGCGCGTGCTCATCCACCAGTCGCTGCCCGCTGCCGCGCGCGGACAGCAGGTGACCGTCGTCGGACAGGCTGGCGGCGGCGCGGCCGTGCAGCGCTACACGGCGGCCGGGGGCGCCACCGGGCTGCAGCGCGTCTTGACAGCAGGCGGGGGCGCCACCGGGCTGCAGCGCGTCATGACGACGGGCGCGGGCATGCAGCGGATCGTCATGGCGGCCGGCGCGGGAGGGGGCGCCACCGGGCTGCAGCGCGTCGTCACGAACACCGGCCTGCAGCCGGTCACGATGCTGCAGGGCAAGGGCGCGGCGCTCGCGTCCGGTGGCGCCCTCCAGCGGGTCGTAACGACGGCGGGACTGAAGCGCGCGGCGTCCGTCCCCGCGGCGATGCAGCACTACGTGACGATGCAGCAGCAGCAGCCGCGCAGCCCGGCGCCGGCGCCCGCGACCTCGCAAAGCGGCGCCCTCTACAAGCTAGTGAGCACAGCGAGTGGCGGCGGTGCGGGGAACGTGACGGTGGTGCGGACGAGTGCGCAGGCGACGTCGGTGCTGGCGGGAGCGGCCGGCGTCAGGACAGAGCAGAATGGAGTCGCGGGGCTGTCTAGCAGCCTGAAGGCATCGCTGTCCACGAAGGATCTGTCTCGCCTCATGAACGGAGAGGAATTGAAGCCCAGGAGCTCGTCGCCATCGGTAATTATAATAATCATAATCATAATAACAATAACAATAATCATAATCATAATCATGATGATGACGATTACGATGACGATAATAATAATAATAATAATCATGACAATAATAATAGTAATAATAATAATAATAATAATCATGATAATGATAATATTAATAATAATAATAACAATAAAAACAGTAATGTTACATTGATTTTAATAGCGCATGTTACTGTGAAATATTTGTGTAAGTATTGCATGTATATCATGTAAAATACATATATCGTGAAGTTTGAATACAAAATTTCCATCTCAAACGTTGGAAAATTTGGAATTAGAAGTATACATGTGAGTACATAACTGTGTATTGCATGCTGCTAGCTAATGCAGAACTCTTTTGCAGCATGCTATCAAAGAGCAGGAAGATCCAGTGCTGGAAGAGGAAGAGGAGGAGTTGGGGCATGCGGAAACGTATGCAGAGTATATGCCGAGCAAACGTAAGTTGCCTTTCCTCTCCTGGGGGCTGTCAGACCCGCATGAATCACAAACCTGGATTAGTCCACATCTCATTGCCTGCGGAATCTTCTCTTAGTAATCCCCGTTCAAAACAGATTTTATTCGGGGCTTGATATTGTTAATTAGTCATGCTTGATCATCCAGTTAGTTTGTCGATCAGTGGTACTATAAAAAATTTATTATTAATGTTATTTATTATTATTTATATCATCATCATATGATTCATCATCTTCGTCATCATCACCATCTTCGTCATCATTGCCATTGTTACTGCTATCGTTATTATTATTATTAGTATCATTATTATTATCATCATCATCATCATCATCATCATTGTTATTGTTATCATCACCCTCGTTACTAACACTGTCGTCCTGCCGCCGCCGTTCACAGTGAAGCTGGGACAGAAGCATCCCGACCCGGTGGTGGAGACGAGCTCGCTCGGCAGCATCCCGCCGCCTGACGTCTGGTACCAGCTGACCATCCCGGAGCAGACGATGGACTACGGTCAGCTGTCCGCGCTGCAGCTCGAGTCGATCGTGTACGCGACACAGAAGCACGAGACATTCCTGCCCGGCGGTCAGCGCGCCGGCTTCCTCATAGGTGAGCGCGAGGTTGGGGTCGTTGTAGGTCAGGGTGAGGTCGGGCGTAGGTCAGGGTGAGGTCAGCATGCAGGCTTCCTCATAGGTGAGAACGAGGTCAGGTCGTAGGTCAGGGTGAGGTCGGGTTGTAGGTCAGCGTGATGTCAGCATGCTGGCTTCTTCATAGGTGAGTGTGAGGTTGGGTCATAGGTCAACGTGAGGTTGGGTCGTAGGTCAGCATGAGGTCAGCATGCTGGCTTTCTCATAGGTGAGAACGAGGTGGGGTCGTAGGTTAGGGCGAGGTCGGGTTGTAGGTCAGGGTAAGGTCGGGTGTGAGGTCAGCATGCTGGCTTCCTCATAGGTGAGTGTGAGCTTGGGTCATAGGTGAGCGTGAGGTCAGGTCATAGGTCAACGTGAGGTCGGGTCGTAGGTGAGCGTGACGTGGGGGTCATAGGTCAGATTAAGGTTGTGTTGTAGTTCAATGTAAGGTCAGGGCATTGGTCAGCGTGTGGGCTTCCCCACGGGGTGAGCAAGAGGTCAGGTCGTAGGTCAGGGTGAGTTTAGAGTGAAGGTCACTGTGGTTTAAGGGTATAGGTCATTGTAAAGTCAGATTGTGAGCAGCTTTCTTTGTGTGGCAGTGTGAGTTTAGGTTGCATGTAGGTAGGTTACTTCATGTGTCAGTCGAACACTGGGTCTTTGACACGAAGAGTGCTCTCTAGAGGGGAATCAAGTTCGCTGATCTTGTACCTGACTAACACGTCTTCATTCTCCTCTGTGTAGGTGATGGAGCGGGTGTGGGCAAGGGCCGAACTCTTGCTGGAATTATCTATGAAAACTACCTAATGGGAAGGAAGCGAGCATTGTGGTAAGAATGCGCATCTTTGTTTAAATTGCTATACATGCATTAGTATTTGTTTTAAATCTGGGGCCCGTTGTCAGAAACAAAATTAGTCTTAACATTAGTCTTAACATTAACTTCCACTCGTAAACCGTTGACAGAAACATCGCAAAGTTACGTGAATGAAAAATCCTCGAAAATATCCTCTTAACATTACGAGAGCCCAGACCCTCTCGTAACATTAATATTAAGATGAAAATAACACATTTACACTACGAATTACAATTATAGTGATATTATATTTTATAATAATGAATAAAATGTGTGTTTTTCTTGGAAAACACGTCAAAATCATTAATTATCTACCGATCATAAAACAAAACAAAACATTTACAAATGGCGTATGTCATTTGTTCTCTTGTTTTAAATACCTTGCCACTTGCCACGACTCTCGCGTCTCGTGTTGCAGTGTGAGAATTTGTCTTGTTGTGTAGAATAAATTCATGAACACGTCATTTTTCATCAAATATTATTTATATGTGGTTAGCCATCATAATATGCATAAATTACTGTGATGTACAATAAATGTGTATGAATTTGAATTTTGTGATCGATTCTCATCCAATCAGCAAGCCTTGTGACATGAAATTATGAAGTTCCTGTTATTGTGAGTTTGCTCGTAGCTACGATGTGTTTCTGTCAACTCTACTCTCGTAACATTAACATTAGTCTTAAGTGTTATCTTAGCATTAACATTAGCATTAACTTTGCGATGTTTCTGACAACGGCCCCCAGGTTTTAAGCAGTTTTTCGCAAAGGCATTTTGCTATTAGTAGGGTTGTAATGTTTAATTAATTGGGGTTGCATAGGCAGGCATTCAGGCTTGGCTTAAATAGTAAAATAGTAAACTTTACTTGACTCAGTGTCTTGTTGCCAGTAATGTATATATGTGAGGTTCTATTGGGATTCTTTGCAATAACGTATACTTGTATCAGTATGAGTTATTCTTCCATCGAGTATGACGTTAGTTGGGAGACCTGTACTCAGTACTGTATGTCTGATTAAATAGTCATGAGGTCAACGTACAGTTAAACCTAAACCTGTATTAGTAGGTAGCATTTATATAGTGATTCTATAAAATGGACACCTGTGTATAAAACATGATCTTGGCATTTAAGTGACCCTTATACACAGAGTTAAGGAGTTAATGCGAGCGTGGTGGCTGAATATCGAACTTTTTTCAGGTTGAGCGTTTCGAATGACCTCAAGTACGACGCGGAGCGTGATCTCAGTGACATCGGTGCTAGCAAGATCAGCGTGCACGCCCTGAACAAGGTACGACTGCCTCCACTTCTCCTCACGCCCCGCGAAATGTCCCGCGGTGGACAGGCGTGTAGCCGATTTCTCGCTCGTCGTGATCCGAATTCTGCGAGTGTTAGTCGTTAGTAGTTAGAGTTTAGGGTCGCGAGGAGAATGCGTTTGTTGTTAAGATCAATAATAAATGTCTGAGGGAGGCCAACAATTTGCTGCTATCTGACGGATCTTGACCGGTTTCTCAAGGTCTCAGATGCATCTGTTAGTAATCGACATTGATTGTGCAATCTGTAACTGTTTTGTATTCCCATGCTGATATCGTGTATCGTGCAAAATTGTTAGGCATTAAATGTATTATGTGCATGTATGCGTGGGCGTGTGTAAATCCGTGTGTGCGTGTCACTCTTGTCTGTTCGCTCGCTTACGCGCGCCGTGTTGCTGCATTTTGTCGTTCATTCATCCATCCGTCCATCCATCCGTCCGTTCATCCATCCGTCCATCCACCCACCCATACGTCCCTGCAGCCCCCTGTCCATCCCTCCATCCCTCTACCTGTCCATCCCTCCATCCCTCTACCTGTCCATCCCTCCATCCCTCCATCCCTCTACCTGTCCATCCCTCCATCCCTCTACCTGCCCATCCCTCCGTCCCTCCATTCCTCTACCTATCCATCCCTCCGTCCCTCCGTCCCTCTACCTGTCCGTCCCTCCACGCAGCTGTAAGCCCCATCGTTGTTCGCTCGCTCACCGCGCGCCGCCTCGCTGCAGTTCAAGTACGCGAAGATCTCGAGTCGCACGAACGGCAGCGTGAAGAAGGGCATCGTCTTCGCGACCTACTCGTCACTCATCGGCGAGAGCCAGGGCGGCGGCAAGTACCGCACGCGCTTCAAGCAGCTGCTGCACTGGTGCGGAGACGACTTTGACGGCGTCGTATCCTTTTTTTTATCGCGCGATGACGAGGTTACAGGTGGGCCCATTCTTAAAAAATTATGTTTGCTGTCCTCCGACCGACCCACGAAAATAGCCGCGACCCTAAAGTTTTTTTAGACATTTTGGGTTCCATTTTTATTTTTTATTTTTTTTACATTCCTTATAGTTAAGACTGAAACACAAACAACTATTATTCCTCTAAAAAAAAAAGACCTACCTACCTACCCACTAAAAAATCATGGGTCGTGGCCTCGGGGTACAGCAACAATTTTTTAAGGATGGCCTGGAGTTGCTGACAGGTGGTGACTAGTGGTGACAGGTGACTAGTGGTGACAGTTGGCTTGCTGGTGGTGACAGGTGACTAGTGGTGACAGGTGACTAGTGGTGACAGGTGACTAGTGGTGACAGGTGACTAGTGGAGACAGGTGACTAGTGGTGACAGGTGACTAGTGGTGACAGGTGACTAGTGGTGACAGGTGACTAGTGGTGACAGGTGACTAGTGGTGACAGTTGGCTTGCT